GGGCGCCCCCTCTGTTCGCTGCTGCTTCCTGGGGGCGGAGCGGCGGTGGCGCCGGGGGGCAGGGCTCCCCTGCTCTGTGGAGGACGTCCTGCCAAGCAGCGTAAGGTGGGCGGGGCTCATAACCCGAGAGGTGATCTCATCCAGGAAGTTAGAGAAGCGGACCTTCTCCTCCAGAACCTGCATCTTCCAGTTCCAGTTGGTCCTACAGGGGGAGGGTGGGTCCGAGGACCGCCGCGAGGCCGGCACCCGCTGCTCCGTCCGGTCCAAAGAGCGAGTGGGCGGATGGCGGGCAGAGCTGCTCCGCCCCCTGCTGTCATCCAGCAGCTCCACTGACTTTGACTTCCTGATGATGTCACAGGCGTGCTCCACCCCCAGCGAGGCGGGCTGCTTCAGGATGCCCTTCGGAGGGGCGGCGGACGGCTGACGGTGGCTCTGAGTGTAACGCTCCCCTCTGAGGCCACGGGCAGGTGAGTGTTTCCTTGCTGCTGCTGGGCTTTGATGTGGTGGGAAACCCTCGTTGCCACGGCTGATGGCGTGACTTGGCGCATGGCGAGGACTTGTGGTGACGCCCACCGCTGTGGTTCTGGTGCGGTTGGGCCGTTGGGTACTGAAGAGCGGCGGTGGCGGCGCGATGCAAAGCTCCAAGCTGGACAGACTGGAGACGTCCAGCTCGCTATCCGAGTGCGGGAGTGCCGAGGTCGGAGCGCCATGGCGTGACCCAGCGCTCTGCGGCTGTTTGGAGGCGCCGGTTGGTGGATGCTGTGGGCGGAGTGGAGGTGTGTTTAAGGTGTGTTTGTTTACCTGATTGATGTCGTGCTGTGGAGCAGGCGGGGGCGGGGCAACGGGCAGGCCGTGGCGCGTCTCACGGTGCTGCGGCGGAGCCTTGCGGTACGGCTTCCTGGCCGGGGCCGCGCTCGTCATCCTGGGCCCTACTTCCTTCCTTCCTCACTTCCTTCCTGTTGTCTGTCAGTCCTGCCAGGAGAAGAAGAGTTAGATAAGGTTGAAAATGCTGCAGCCGCCCGCCGATCGCCCGCCAACCGCCGACCCCAACGCCTCAACCACAACTGGCCTCTGTCACTGCTGTCACACTCACGCTCTCTCTCTCTCTCTCTAACACACAATGCACGGTGGAGGCGTGTTTTGATGTTGATGAGGGGCGACCCCCGGGGGGGTGCATGATCTGCAGAGAGAGAGAGATGAGACAGACAAGAGAGAAGAGAGAGCCGTGAGTGTGACAGCCAGTGACAGGAGGCCAGTTGTGGTTGCAGGCGTTGGCGGTCGGCGGGTTGGGCGCATCGGCGGGCGGCTGGCCCAGCATTCAACCTTATCTAACTCTCTTCTCCTGCGCAGGACTGACAGACAACAGGCGAAGGAAGGTGAGGAAGGAAGGAAGTAGGGCCCAGGATGACGAGCGCGCCCCGGCCAAGGAAGCCGTACCCAAGGCTCCGCCCGCAGCACCGTGAGAGCGCCACGGGCCTGGGCCGTTGCCGCCCCCGCCGCCCTCCACAGCACGACATCAATCAGGTAAAACAAACACACCTTAAACACACCCCACTCCGGGCCCCACAGCATCCACCAACCGGCGCCTCCAAACAGGCCGCAGAGCGTTGGGCACGCCATGGCGCTCCGACCTCGCACTCCCGCACTCGGATAGCGAGACCGCGTCTCCAGTCTGTCCAGCTTTGGAGCTTTGCATCGGCGCGCCCACCGCCGCTCTTCAGCTACCCAACGGCCCAAACCGCACAGAGACCACAGCGGTGGCGTTCACCACAAGTCCTCGCCATTGCGCCAAGTTCACGCCCCATCAGCCGGCAACGAGGGTCCACCACATCAAAGCATCTCCTCCCCTCCTCCGTGTGGGAGAGAGAGCGAGGGAAACCCCCTCGTGCCACGCAAGCCATGACTGAGTTCAGATGTAAGTATAATCTGAAAACGATACTTGGGACTGCCGAATTGCGTTAAAGTGCCTACTCAGGACTGAACGCCTCGCAAGGACACTGGAGGAAATTTGAGTCTTGCTTTCCTCCAATATAATCAGATCGGCCCGATAAAAATTATGGAACCAGCTGAGTTATTACGGCGGTATTCGGCGGCGCTTTATGGATGGCAAACAGTGCTCCTATGCAAGCCTCAGGGAACAGAACCTTGAGGAAGACGCTCTAAATCAGCTCCCGACCTGTCGGAGGAATGTGCTGAGTTCGTGAAGCCGCCATGGTGTGAGCTGTTGAACCCAAGCCCGCTCTAGCCGGCTTTTGGGAAGGCGCCGGTTGGTGGATCTGTGGGCGGAGTGGAGGTGTGTTTAAGGTGTGTTTGTTTACCTGATTGATGTCGTGCTGTGTCTATGCGGCGCGGGCTGGCAACGGCTTTCTGTGTCGTGTGTTTCACGTCTGCGGTAGTCCCTTGCGGTACGCTCCTGCCGTGTGCTCGTCCTCTACCTGCCCTCTCCTTCCTTTCCTCACCTTCCTTCCTGTTGTCTGTCAGTCTCCTAGTGATATGAAGCATGTGTAGATAATGCGTTGAAAATGCTGCACTTCCCTTTGCGGAAGCGGATCGCCCGGCAAACGGCCCGACGCTCCCTCGCGCGCCCCATATCGCAACTCAACCAGCAACTGGTGTGCCTCTGCGACTGCTGTCTACGCTCACGCTTCTCTCTCTCTCTCTCTCTCTCTCTCTCTCTTCTCTCCTGCAAGGTATCAATGCTCGCCCCAGCGGCCGGGGCCGCGGGGGGCCGGGGCGCGCTCGCCCTCATCAACATCAAACACGGGCCTCCACCTGCATGTGTGTTTGTGTTTTGTGTGTCAACGAGGCAGCCATGAACATTGACTTTGTGTTTTTGTATGTTGGGTGAGCCGACCGGCGCCTGCCGGCTCAGACCCTGCATTGTGGGAGCGACATTCTTTTGCCCTGTAGAGAAGGTCCCCACAGTGCAGGTGGAAAAGTCCACGTCAGAAGTCTCATAAACAACCTCTTACAAACAGACTCAAAATAACAAAATTTCACCAGTGTTATTGTGTGAATACTTGTACATATCTTTGGTGAGGACAGTATCCCTAGAAGAAACTTCACTTGAGCGGTTCTAAATTTCAAATTAATGGGTGCTCCCACACAAGGTGTCAATAATGGTACACTGGTGTGTGTGTGTGTTGTGGTGTGTGGGTGTGTGTGAGTGTGTGTGTGTGTTGTGTGGCTGCTGTGAGTGAGGTGAGTGAGTGTGTGTGTGTGTGTGTGTTTGCTGTGTGAGTGAGTGGAGTGTGTGGGTGTGTGTGAGCCTCAGGGCACACATTGAATCTCAGTTTGTTTCCAGAAAAACAAAGGGGAAAGTGCAGCTGCCATTTGATCTGTATCAGCCAACCGTTAGCCCTGTCAGCATTATAGCCTTGTTAATGTGGGATGCACACAGACCAGAAGCTAACACTGCTAGCATGCTAACATGTCACTGTACCCCATAAAGTTAAGTAGCACATAATAGACAATAATAAAACATTAAAACAGGGACCAAACATAACTTCATTCATTTAATGGAGTAAGAATAATAAACAATAACGTTTCCTCACAAACCTTTCAGCACACATTATATTTATTATATTGATGTTGCTGCATCAATGCTGAGCAAACAATTAACTTACAAATAAATAAAAGCCAATCATTTAAACCAATGTCTGTTCAGTGGCCTTTTAGAATATTATATTATTATGAAAACTGATGAATATGAGTGTAACTGGTTTCTGCCTCAACAACCGGCTCCATTTTAGACTTGTGTCTACCTCACATGACCACGCTTTCTACCCGGAGGCCACAAATGACGAGCCAGTCGATTCACTTGGTCACTTTCCTGTGTCTCT